TTTTTTTTAAAGATTTATTTAGAAAAAAGATTTATTTATTTATGCATAGTGGGGACAGAGTGGGGAACAGAACAGGTGGATCTACTGAAATATACTGCTGAGGGAAACAGCAGGTGAGACAGCTGAGGTCTGCTATGCTATGTTGGTGAGCTCCTTGGTGGGGATGAACTCAGGTTGTAGGGGCTATTGAGAGCTTCATAGTTCTGAGACTTAACCTCTTGCACCGTTGGGGAGGCCCAAGATCTATAGTATATTTTTTAAAGATTTATTTATTTATCCATGGAAGAACTGGGGTATAGGCCAGAGGTGGCGGGGATGATAGGGTTCACCAGAGACAGCGTGGGAAGCAGAACAGGCAGATTGATTAAAATACACTGCTGAGAGGAGCAGTGGAAGAGACGTTAGGTCTGCTGTTCCATATGGGTCACCTTCTTGGTCAGGAATTGAACTTGTGCTGCATGGCTGCTGATAGCGTCATAGTGCTGTGCTTTAATCTACTGCACCACCAGAGCAGGCCCCCAAGATGTATAATTTTAAGAAAACAAAGTCCAGAAATAAAACATTAAAGTCTAAAAGGTAAAATTTCATTGTTGTATGGATTACCTATAAGCATGTTGTGTTAGTCTAGTAGATTGCTTTATGGCTCTGGGATTTTTTTGTAATCACTCACAAAAATTATATGCTAATATGCACTTATTCACCTACAGTTTTATATATGTATGTATATATACATATACACACATACATATATGTGTATATGTACATATACACATATATGTATATACATATATGTATATGTGTATGTGTATACACACACACATATGTCTGTTTGGAGATACTAAATGGTAGTTACCAGAAAAGGGAGAAATAACCAATAACTAACAAAGAGATATAAAACAATAATCTCAAACTTGAATGTTTGAACACCATAGAATTGTGTTGTTTATATAAATGCTTTCCTCCAGTTTTGAACACGAAACCAACTTGCTCCTAATAATCTCTTTCCCAGTCCCGAATTAAAATTGAATTTAAATTGCTATGTTAAGGGTGAAAAATTACACATATAGTATAATAGGTGTTTTAGGGCCTCAATTAATACATTTAAAATAGTTCGCTTATCACCTTCTTGAAACAGTGATTCCAAAGTTTCCCTCTAGATCTATGGTTATATCTGTTCTCTCCTGTTTTTTTCCACCTTCTCCACATTGGTAACAGGAAATTTGAATATAATTTTTTTTTTCTGCCACATTTGACCCACGAACGTTTTTTTTTTTTTTCAGGTGTTATTTCCTCCTTGTTTATATATTTATATTTATGTAGACTCCTTCGTGCATATTAGCTTCTAATCTTTATGAGTGATTAGAAATAATCCCAGAAATATAAACCAGGCTATTAGACTGGGTAACATACCTTGATTATGTTATTCAATGGTATATAATACATTATCTATTATAAATTTATTTTTATTTTTATCATAATATTATACAAGAATTTAAAATTATCATATATTTGTTATTTATTACACGTTCATTATTTATTTTAATACTGAAATTACTCAGGCTTTAGAAATTAGTAGACCCTTCAAGCAGCAGCCTGTATATTATACCCTTTGGTCCAATCCCCATAATTCCTTATCTTCTAAGGCTTATCTTGTACTTTACATGTCTTAAACTTGTGAAAGAGTCAGTCATTTTCCAAGATGTGACAGAGTTGTGGTTCCTTTTACTGTACAATGGGATTTAGAAAACAAGATTTAAGTGCTCCATGTACTACTGGATTCTCATTGCTTGAGCTGTAAAATTTATTATTATCTTCTTTCATCACACTGTAAGTCTAACTTTAAAAAGCAATGGGTTTTCATTATCTGTTACACTATCTCCATTTTGAGTCCGAATGACCCAAACACTAAAACTATTTCGGGTTTCCGTCCCAGAACCTGCAGGAGGGAACCGCCCCCCCCCCCCCCCCGGTCACAGGCGTGCAATACAGATCTGTGTCCTCCAGAGTCCGCTGTGCTGCGCCCAGAGCAGCCCAGTGCATTCTCAAACCTGAAGTGTCTACAACAATTTGCAAGGACATCGAAGAGGAGGCGCTTCGCGCGCCCACTTCCTTCCGACACCGCCTCTGATTGGCTCTAGGGCCCATAAGAAACCGGTGAATGAGCTGCTGGCCCTTGCTGAAACTTGCTGGAGGTCTTTGGCATCGCCCTTTCCTCTTCGTCAATCCGCGGTCTAACCAAGCTGGGGAAAGATGAGGTCGTCCTGTGTCTTGCTCACTGCCCTGGTGGCACTGGTCGCCTATTACGTCTACATCCCCCTGCCCGGCTCCGTATCGGATCCCTGGAAGCTGATGCTGCTGGACGCGACTTTCCGGGGCGCACAGCAAGTGGTGAGATTTTCTCTCCCTCTTCTTAAGCAATAGTTCAAGGGTAAAACAAAATTTCCGGACTGTGTCTCAAGAGAATGCATATTTTTCTAATGCAATGACGCGATCGCATTTTAAGGTGGCTCGATCTGACATTTTCAGGGTGTCGCATTCTCCTCGGTGCTAACATCGGTCTAGATCTGCGTCTCCGGGTTTGTGTTGGTGACTGAGGAGGTGAACTACTCGGACAGAATCTGACAACTGTTTAGCCCGTCTTTCATCCTACATATCCCCCTCTAACTTGGTTTGCAATGTCAAAAAAACAAAACACAAAAAATCCCTTGCTGCATTTTATAAACCGCCCCTCCCCCATCTCCCATTTTCGTTCTCCTTATGGGGCCGGCAAAGAGTGAGTTAAATGTTTTAGGAAGGCTCTGGGAAAAACAGGCTCTCCTTCCAGGCAGTGCAGCCACCGTAAAAGCTTGGGCGTGCGCTGGCGATCTCCAGTGTCCTGTGTCTCTCCACTCCTGGGGGCAGCGGGTTGGAATCCTCTAAACACTTGAGGAACCGCGGAGACCTCCCATTTCATGCCTGGCACTTACAAGTTCAGTCCCAGAAAGGAGGCCAGGAGGCCTGGTTGGTTAGAGGAGCGGCAGTCGCCCTCATTTGCTTGATGTATTTGTTTTCTGCTTGCCCTGCAGCTTTTATTTTATGTCCTTGGCCACCGAAGAGATAACCTTTCCCTGAACCAGTATACACTGGCTGGGTAACATTTCTCTCTACTGTATCTTGGGTGTATATTTCTTCCCTCCCACAAACAAAAAATATAATTCTCTCTGATTCATTCCATGTCAAATAACATTGTTTTTAGTGCCAGAGAATCTAAAATCTAAACTACAATCTGTACCCTACATTGAGCATTATCACTGAACAGTATTTCTGAGAAGCCTGCTCCCTCTAGACTTCTAGACTCCCAACCTTCTTCCAAAACCAACTTTGCTTTCTGCCTTCAATGGTGAATTTTAACTGCAGATTATTTTATAAATTCCTTTTGTTTGTTTTTTTGTTTTGTTTTGTTTTTCAACTACTGTAAGGAAAGTAAAAAGGTCATAAATTTCTCTGGAGGGTTGTGCCTTTTCTTTATCCATTCTGATTTGTATAGCATTACATGGTCTTTTGTCCTGTCCATATTCCTAGTAGAGATATGCTTTTCCTGGGTCTGGCTGTGTTTTCTACCTTCAAGTTCCCTCTTTCCACTGCCCCCTACCTTGCTTTCTAATATTGATATGGTAAAAGAATGGAACCCCCTTCTTTAATGTTTGTTACAAGAAAGGCAGTTTTCATGTGGGAAGTACTGCAGTCCCTCTCTTTCTCCAGATATTATGTAATTTGAGATTAACACTCTTCAGACACCCTGGGCTGTCTGAACAGTATCTACCTGGGTTGGTAAAATGACAGTCTTCAATAAAAAGAATAATGACTAATAAGAAAAACAAACAAAATATCAAGCTGTTATATTGGCTTCAAAGATTATTCCTACTTTTCAGGTTACCAGTGAAGTCTTCTCCATCACAAATAATTTGAGAAAAGCTAGGTTTAGAAAAAAGCTTATCTTCCCTATTTAGCTGGCCAGCCCAAAGGCTTTTATTTTATTTAAGATTTATTTGTTTATGTTGATGTAGAAGAACTGGGATGTAGACCAGAGGTGCAAGGGTGAGAGAGCAGGGAGCAGAGTAGGTGAATTTACTGAAATGCACTGCAAGGGGAGCAGCAGACCACAAAGAGCAGTCTGCTGCACCATGTGTCTGTCAGCAGTCTGTCCAGGAATCGAACTCAGGTCATAGAGACTTAACCCCTAGGCTACCAGGAAGGCCCTCCAACCCAAAGACTTTGTATCCTATAATCTTCTACCAGATGTGCACTCTGTTTGCTTTGGGGAATGTTAAAGTAAAAACAGTTTACAGAGATAAATGAGGCAACAAAATACCCATCCAACATTGTGGCTTGAGAGTGGGTTTGCACAGATACGGCTCTCATCACTGTCTTCTGAAATGTGAAATATCAGAATGATCATTCAGACCACATGGAAGTATCTTCTACCCACAAAAAAAGTAACTTAACAATGTCACTTCTCATTGTCCTGGGAAAAACAACAAGGTGGCTTAATATTGTAATGTTGTAAGTAAGTAAGAGCATGACTGTTCAATTCATGTCTCCCTGAGTTCCATCCCAGACAACCTTGCTGGTTGTGAGTCTAGGCCACTTCCTAACCTTCTCTGATCCTCAGGTTGTTAAGTGTGTTTAAATGCCTGGATTTTGTTGCAGTAATTCTTTTAAGAGTTGTCTCAAATGTCCCCTGTTAACTGTAGGAAAATCCCTGTGATTGCTTAATTTTGTTTAGCAAATATAACAAAGTCTTGAGCATTAGTACTTTTAAAATTCCCCAGCAAAAGTTGAGAAATACTCTTTTATAAGTTAAATAAAATGTACTGTAAATGTTGATTTTATGTTTTACTTAAACTCCTCAAATTTTATTGCTTCTGGGAATGAATCCCTTAAAGTGTCAAGAATTTATCAGATTAGTTGGTTGATTATTTTGACTATAAGAGTCTAAGGGGATACAATACTAACTAGGGAAATTCTGTGTTATCGCAAAGTCATCAGAAGATTTGAGCAGAAGAAAAGCACAAACAAAAGTAGTTCTGGGAAGGGCAATGGAGAGAGATAGATGAAAGCTGGGAAGTTAAGAACAAAAGAAGGGAATTTGGGGAGTTTCTAGTGATTTCAAAATGCAGTGTAAGCAAAATATGAAAAAATAGGATTCCCCATTAAGGTAGACATATTGAGAAGTATATACTGTGGAGAAAATGCAAATTTTAAGAGTATTTTCAAAGGATAGTTTAGTAGCATGCATTAGAAACCATAGATCATATTTATTCTTTGACACAGCAATCCTTCTTGATGAATAAGTAATCAGTTAAAACTGTAGTTATAAAGATAAAAACAATTTATAGAATCAAAACTCTTATTTAATTCAAAGGCATCCCCATTTCTGAGAAATGTGGAGAAATATTCAGTAACCTCTATAAAGCATTATAGAGACCTGTAAAAGATTAAGTAAAATATGGTAAACCCACATTTTGGAATACCAGTAGATTTCTTTATAATGTAGATTGTAAAATCATGCTTAATGACCTAAAGGAAGGAAAAAAAAAAGATTTGTATGAAAATGCTATAAAACAACATATAAGATATTATCCCACTTAAAAGTATCTATACATCAAAACATACAATCATACATTTCAGTATACCTATATACATATAGAAAAAGCAGAGTAATATAATTTAAAATATAGAAATTTCTTTCAAGGCCATAAGAGTACATCTTCAACTTTATTTCTGTGTCTTCACTTTTCATATTGCAGTTTTTCTACAATGAACATGTAATAAGTTATTTTTAAAACTATGATTTATAGTTGTTTTTGTAATAGTTTTTTCTCTAAAGTAGAATTGATGTGCATTGCCTATCAATGTTATTAATATTTTGGTAATTGTACTATGAAAAAAAGACTAAGAAAAAAGGCATCCTGGATCCCTCAACACAGCTATCATAGTGGCTTGCTTCATGCCCAGTGACTTAAAGGTAACACAAGTTGAAAGTCTACTCAAGTGAGGTTTTGAGGTGTTCACATGATGGTCTTGTAGAATGGAAAGCCATGCTAAAGTCAGCTATGAAAAAAAAGTGGGAGCTAACAGATATTGTAGAAGAGGTACAATTCAAAGGAGAAGCTATGTACAGTTTATGGGGTTGCAAAAGATAGTGACTAAAGGTAATAACTGCATCTCAACAGGATTCAGAGTAAGAGCTTAACTTGTTTTGTCTTGATCATTTAACTTACTAGTTCTTCAACTGTGTATCCTCTTGACAAGATTATGTAAAAGAGAGGTGGAAATTGGTACTTCTGCTGAACGTTGGCCTATATTTTACGGATGACAGTGCTTTGGGACTAGTTAAGCAAGATTTTTCATCCTGTAAAGTCTAAAGTGACCTCACCTGAAATGTCTGTGCATGATAGCACCCAGAACTCCAACTTGCTAACCTTTTCCATAACCATTTATGAAATGAAATGTTTTCTATTGTCAGTTAAGTTTAACTTTAAAACATTGATATAAAAAGTAAGTTTTATTTCCTGCCTTCCAGACTTGACATGGTACATATTTTGCCATGTAATTTGTAGATTTCACCAATCATAGCAATTTTAGCTGATTTCAATGGAATTCTTTTTAGCCTGCCCAGTGGCAGAAATTTCAAGTTTAAGAAGAGCCTCGGGGGCAACATTTAATCAGCCTTAATTCTGCTACGTATACAATCTGAGTAGGTACCTATCAACAGCAGTGCTTGGTGAACTCAGTCAAACATTAATGACTTCCCTATCAGATATGTAAGACAATATACTTATTTTACAGTTTTGCTTTTTCCCCTAGAACTAAAAAAAATAGAGCCATAAGCACAAAAATACCATCATTATTACTGTATTTTAATGGAACATTCTATTTCTAACATGTGGCTTGAGCTTGATCAAAGACATTTCTTTGAGGTGAGAATAAATAATAATTCCTAAGTGTTCTACTAATACACAGTTGTTCCTTTTAAAATAGTGAACAACAACAAATGTTGGCAAGAATGTGGAGAAAAGGGAACTTTCTTGCACTGCTGGTGGGAATGCAAACTAGTACTACCACTATGGAAAACTGTTTAGAGGTTCCTCAGACTGCTTAACATGGAGCTTCCATACGACCCAGCAATTCCACTCCTAGGTATCTACCCAAAAGACACAAAAACACTGATTCAAAAAGATACCTGCACCCCCATGTTTATTGCTGCTTTATTTACAATTGAAAAGACATGGAAGCAGCCCAAATGCCCAAAAGTAGATGACTGGATTAAAAAGATGTGGTACATATACACTATGGAATATTACTCAGTAATAAACACATGTCTTTTGCAGCAACATGGATGGAGC